AAGTACCAATGTGTGTCTTTCAATGCGTAGGTACGTATTTTCTAAGTTTATCTTACAATGGGGAAGGAAAACATCGTGAGGCAACCTGAACTCAATAATCATATGGTAGAAGTATAATAATCAAAATAAAAGTCTGAAACTGCCAACTCATCTTGACTCTGCTTGGTGATTAATGCTGCTGCTTTCTCTGTATGAAAAGAGGTCTTTTCCCAGCAGTGGGGCCGTATTATTATGCTTATATTAGGTATTATTTACTCTCTTTCTCTGTTCATCAGACTTTTAGAGTTCGATGGCAGAAAGCGTCGCCTGTCAGGACGACTCCTTGAGTCAATCTGTTACGACGACAGATTTTGACCGATAATTAAATGAACTATACGTATATTGTTCTAATTTGCATAAAGTGTAGTCTAAAAATCAACATAAGCGAGATATTACGAAAACGTAACTGCTATTTGTGACCGCGCACAGATGATAATATTACATTGAAGAGGGATTTATTTCTGAGTGATTGTAACTCTCTCGGCGATTAAGAAACAATAACAGAGTACTTTTTGTATACCTGAAAGAAACAATTTGATTATAAACGTATAGTTTTTGAGGTTGCGACAGCTGTCAAATAAGGTTTGACAGCTGTCATAACCTGAAAAACTTATTTACTTAATAGCATTTTTCCCTGGCCTCTAAATGAAAAGGTAATAAGTTATTATGTTATTATAAACAATAATTGATTTTATGCAACAGCACTTGTAGGTAGACGCGCCCTGTAAAACAAATCAAGTGACAGGTCAATCAATGTATGGGAAGTGGGCATTCTTCTTTAGACTAAATTAACCTAATTACCAGAATATGTTATATAGTATTACTATACGATATATTATTATGTATTAAAATGTTCAATTTAGTTAAGAAATAAATTAAATGTGCAATTATATGGGATAAGCCACTGACTCCACTTCACTTTTACACTAAAGTTATTTTTGGATAAAATAAATTTCATTTTATTTATTTAATTATATTACACACAGATAAATCCGTGGACGATACATAAAGTTTAATAATTACACGATGCAACGGGATATTTACAAATGTCCTGCTCAATTTTTCAGACCCGAGGTAACTTTACTTGTAACAACAGTGAAGCAAAGTTGTATAAACTACAGGTCTAATAGGGTATTTATTCTATATTCTTAGTAATCTAGCTAACTTTTTACTTTTAATGAGTAAAAAAAAAAAGAATATGAAATAAACGAATTAAAATTAACAACATTTTGTTCCACTTTTAATTTACTAGCCTCTGGTTTTTTAATTACTTTTATTTTGACAACAATGTCAGGTTAAAGACATCTAAGCATGCAATCATATGCTGGCCAATTTTCTCGGCAAATCGGTCCAACTTATTCGTCACGTCTTGTCAGTTAAATTTGATGGAAATTAGTGAAATAAATTGGCAGAGAAAACCCATTAGACATACAATCGAAATGCACGTTTATATGTTTTTAATAAAAATTTGACTATGCTCTGTGGTCGCGGCGAAGTAGAATCTATAGCCATATTATCCCGTGAGTGTCGTCAGACCATGAGGCATTTTGTGGTCTCCTAAAGTTACAGCCTATATATCTCCACTGTTGGGCACAGGCCTCCCCTCATTTCTGAGATGGTTTTAGGGCAAGGAAGTGTCCGCCGCGTTGCCCCAATGCGTGTTGGCGAACTTCACATGTCTTCGAAATATTTTTTTCTTATTCCTCAAACATACAGATTTCCTCACGATGTTTTCCTTCACCGCCGAGCACGTGGTAAGTCAGCACTTAAAATTGCAATTAACAATTTCATTGGTGCCGGCGGGGATCGAACCCGGGTTACTCGCGTTCTGTTATATTTGCAGCGAGCATTAACCATCTGAGCTACTACGGCTCTTTGTGGCCCCTAGGGTTAGTATAACTTATAAAATGTAAAATACCCTAACCGACCACGGGAAGCAGCGTCAGTGTTGCGAGACGTCTGGTACTGTCTATCCTTGATTAAGAATCGAAATGCGGATGCGTTATCACCCCTGAAACTAATATGCAATGCCTCATTTTCAGTAAATAGGTGCTCGTTCTCGACACTCACTATACGAAGCATGGCATTAAGCTGCTATATCACGCCGGTATTCTGTGAGAGTGTGACCTCCCAGGTTGAGCTGATCCTTTCGTGCTACAACTACGAGTATAATATTACTGTAGCACGGCTATACCACGTTTATATAATGTCAAATACGCCTCCTAAGAGGCAATCTATAGCGACGCGAGTTGGACGAATTTGTGCAGGGAAGAAAAGTTCTTCCTCGCACAATTTCCTTGTGGAATCGACTACCACCAGTGAATTTTCCGGACCGAAATGACAATGCCTACTTTTCCTGGTGTTGCAGTTGTTCATTGACGGCGGTCGACACTTACCATCAGATGATTCGTCCGTTTGCCCCCTCTTCTATAAAAAAACGGCTAGGTTCAGCAGTAGACTTTTTGATAGACTGCAACGAATATGCATCTTGGGATAGCTCCACATCTAGTAATAAAAGTTGCAGGCTAGAAAATAATCAACCGTTTGCTAACTACTTACACATCGTAATAGTAATAGCATGCTCACACTAAGTAACTCCACGATAACTTAGAGGCCATCAGTCTATCATTAACAGAGCATGCAATAAACATCACGTAAGAAAGCGCATAACAAGCCGTACCGTTGCATATAGGATCACCATTTGTTTGGAAACAAAATGGACTGTCCCATTAGTCAATTTAAAATTCACAATACCTGCTTGTGAAACGTATCCTAAGTATAATCATAGTTGTTAAATGAGTTAATTTAATTTCTAATAAAATAACAAGTATTACATTTAAAATAGTTATTTAAATTTAGGAAAAGAAGACAGCTCGATCATTTTTACTTTCACTAATTTATAAACAGTGAAAGTTCAAATTAAATCACAAAGTTCACCGGTATGTGCACGTGGTAAGTGACGACCGCTGGCCAAAAACAACTGCAATAACAGGGGAATTTCAGGTGCGTAGCCAGCCTCTTAAAGGAAGAAAGCTCGTGTTTTAAAGGTCTAAAGTCGATATTTAATTAACAATTTATATGATAATCATAAAAAATCCATCAATTAATTAACCATCTTTGGGCTTTAAACTTTTCCTCTTTAAAATAGTTCGTTTATCTGTTATCTATTTTTTTATTTACTTTTTCTCTTAAAAATAAGGTCAAAAATATTTTATTTACTACTAGCGATCTGACTCGGCTTCGCACGGGTGATATCTGGATTCTACAACAGCGCCACCTACCGGTTCCAACTAGCCTATAACCTTCACAGAAGCGCAAACAATATGCTGACAAAATTTTACCGAAATATGATGAACGGTATAGAAGCGCATAAAATACGAACAAACAAATATTTCTTATATATTATGCGGCGTGCTTTGGGAAAGGCCTACGTCCAGCAGTGGGCTGCCACAGGCTGATGATGATATATTAGATAACAATGTCGACGTTCCGGTAATATTGTCACGTCGAATATAAATCATAACGCTGATAATAACAACTTGACCATTATTCATACGTTGTCGACGTTCATATGGACATAACCCAGAACCCTGCCCGCACAGAACACAAACGTAGAACCGAACAAGAACAGCAATGCCGCTGTGTTTAGATTGGTGACTCAGGTTTTTTAATGGGATAAGAATGACAAACGAGCACACAGCCCACCTGATGGTAAGATTCCTCGATTACGAATCAAAATACAGTTGCGTTGTTACTCGTGAGGACGTGGTCCTTCCCCAGTCGAGTCGACCCATTCGCGCTATAACTATACAGTTAATATAGCTGCAACATGTCTCTACCACGTGACTACGGATCTGCATTTTGATATTATGATCCTTAGTAGAGTGAGGGCCCAAGACCCTACGCTATTACTACTGGGCTGCATCTAGAGCACGCTTACCTTTGCAAAAAAACTGGCGTAACTGACCGTATTACATCAAGAAGTACTATCGGAGTTTTAGTGACATTTGTTTAATAAAAACTGTATTAACCTCATCTCTAATCGTTGGGTGGCGGTGTTGGAATATCCTCCATCCCATATCGTTCCATGGGTGTCGTAAAAGACGACAGACATAAACAAACCAGGAGAACAGCAGCGACTTCCCGTCTGCCAAGTGAAGCAACTCTCCTCCTTATCAGACTCTATGGAGAGGCGTGTGTTCTATGGATAGGGCTGTAGCGAATAAATGAATTAAAAAACTTCCCGCTTTGAAACATTTTCTAAAAAGCATAACTCAATTTATATACTTTGGTAGATAGAAGGACACTTTTTCTGCCTCCGAGTATGTACAGATTAGTACAACCCAGCTATTTCCGTCACCAAGTAGCCGAACCGATTCGGAGGTTAAAACAGTCAGTATTATTTATATCAGGCTCTCAAGACATTCCATCTTAGTCTTTTGTGGTAACAGCCACTTACGACCATCTATCATGTTTGACTCCAATATTATATTTAAAAAAAAATTCATTTGCTTCAAAACTACTGGTCACCCTATCTGTGATTAGGGCAGTTTGCATGCACGCATCGATCAGCCGATTGAACAAATGCGAATATTTAATAGACACTGTTTACGATAACTAACCGGCTCTCAAACCAATCAATTTCTCTATTAGTACTACTAATTTGTTGCTTAACACTTTAACAGCCGTACACGTACTGAGTACGGGCAGTGTCGATCAACTCGGGACGCCGATCACGTACTCCGTACGGGTTTGACTTTCCTATCGTCTGTTTAAAAATTACGTTCCCGGTGCGTGATTGGCGTATAACCCCTGTGTAGAATGACTCTTTAGCTACACCCACATGTATGTATCACCGACGGGAGGTGCGGGGTGGAGGCAGGACAAGCAATCTTTCAGCGCGCGTCGCCAGTGCTCCCACGCCACCAACATGAGAGCACGTCCTTGCATTTTGGCGCGAAATGGCTTCCGCTCGACGTAGTTGGCGTCTCGATTCTAAAGAAATTTTTGATGTTTTGGTAAATGATGTTGACTCAGACATTGAGGAAGACCCGGAAATTCAAATTGAAGGTAAATTATTGTATTTTATTATTGTATTTTTATTCGAATATACCTTTTTTGCGAAGTCTAGATTTTTATTGGTGTTTTCTCTCTCCAGAGGTAATTCAAGACTTACATGAGGTGGTTTCGGTCCAAGATCATGAAAATGATGATGCTGACATGTCAGAGAACGTATCTGAACCAGAACAGGGTCGAAGTCGAGGTCGCTCGAGACCTACACTTCGAGGCAGAACGAGATCGCGCGGCGGACGCGTTCGGTCAGGGGCGCGCTCGACTACCCGCTGCAGCAGCGGCAGACATGCATCAACTTCTATCAGGGAAATGGATGAAGCTAATGGATGGTCATACGAAGCAGTGCAGCAGCCGCCGGAAAATCCAGTATTTCAAGAAATATCTCGCGTATTAGCCCCGATTGATGAAAATTCGTCACTGTTCGATTGTTTCTCAATTTTTTTTCCTGATTCTTTTTGGAAATTGCTCAAGACTGAAACAAATCGTTATGCAGCTCAAATGAAGGCTAAACAAACGCGACAAGGTATCCTGAAACCTGGCACTATGCTTTATCAATGGAAACCAGTCACGAAACAGGAACTGAAAACATTTTTTTCCGTAGTGATTCATATGACACTCGTTCAAAAAGAAAGTTTTGATTCTTACTGGTCAACTCGTGAAATAATAGAAACTTCATTCGCCAGAAAGCACATGAATAGGAACCGATTCAGAGCTATTTACAGCTGTCTTCATTTGAACGACAACTCAAATTATAAACCACGTAATGATCCAGAATACGATGCTTTTTTCAAACTCAGACCGTATTTCGATGAACTGTGTTTTTTTGTGTGAGAACAGTTTTTATCCCAATGAAAACTTGACGATTGATGAGGGCACTTGTGGATTTAGGGGTCGAGTGCACTTCAGAGTTTACAATAAAGATAAGCCCGATAAATACGGTATGAAAGTCTACATGCTATGTGACGCGGAAACGGGCTACATACTACGCATGGTTCCCTATGTTGGCGACTCAAAATCTGTCGAGACTATTATCGCTGAATTGAGTGAACCATATTTTGGTAAATGGCACACCATTTATATGGATCGTTTTTTTACGAGTCCGACAATTGCGGACTTGCTTTGGCTGAAAGAAACTCGCACTGTAGGCACAGTGATGGCGAATCGTCGTGGTCTGCCACAGGTTTGGCGACAACAACCGTTGGAAAAAGCTGAAATGGCTTTTTGTCACCGCGGCAATCTAACTGCCTGTAAATGGAAAGATAAGCGTGATGTACTTATGCTCACGACGAAACACGGAGCTAGCTGGACAGAGGTGGATACAAAAGCCAAAGGTGTGGGCGAAACCAAAAAGGTGAAACCAGACTGCATCCTCGACTATAACCACTACAAAATTGGCGTAGATCTCAATGACCAATATGTATCCTATTATTCGTTGAATAGGAAAAGTATGAAATGGTGGAAAAAAATGTTTTTTAATTTAGTAGCGCGTTCTCTGGTAAACGCTTACATTTTGTACAATAAATCCAGAGAACAACGACGCCGCCTGCGATTCTCGCAGTTTCTGATGGACTCTGGGGAACAACTGGTGGAAACTGCATCAGATGCTGAAGCAGGACCCTCCCATGGTCCACATGCTGTCGGGACAAGCACGAGGCTCGTCGGTAGGCACTTCATAGAGAGGATTCCAAGCTCGGAAAAAAAGGAGAAAGTCGCACGAGTTTGCAAAGTGTGTGCCGACATTTCAAAAAAAGAAACCGGAAAAAGGGGGCGCAAAGAGACCATTTATTACTGCCCAGACTGCAATGTTCCTTTGTGCTACTATCCCTGCTTCAAAATGTTCCACACACAAAAAAATTACGTTCTTTAGTTAGCTCAAGTATGTAAGAATGTTTATGTTGGAGTTTTTTTTTTCGCTTGTAGACCTCTTTTGTTAATTTTTTTTCATAAATATTTTTCATTATTTTTAATGTTTTTTACTTCTTCCTTTAAAATATAAAGAACAATAGTACATATAAAAGAGGAATAATATACATATCACAAATAGTTTTTATTTTATGAGTCATAGAATATCGGCAAAAATCACCGGCGTACCAGGAACGGCCACCTTTATAACGGTCGGCTGTTAAAGTGTTAAATTCTGGGGCTGCACACGGCTGCATGCATATTATTAGTACTGTATTATGTAGCGTTACCTTTACAGCCTGTGAAAGTCGACTGCTGAACAGCCTCCTCCATAGCTTGCCTCATAGGGGGGATTATTTGTCACAGTTGGCACGCTTGACAAGCGGCCAGATAACCACAATTTTATTGTTATTTTTACACGTTATTATGAAGAGCAGCATCTTCTCCCATCCTTCGCACATCTCCTGATTTGTATCCCTCTGTCGTCTTACGACACTTACGTGATGATAACCATCCCGGATATTCTTACACCCCGCCACTACAAGGCAATGGAAATGGAAAGGAGCTTAGCGCCCGCCATGATGACCGCACCATGAAATCGTAAATGTAAGCTACGGCGGTGATATTAAATATTTTGATGACATGATGTGAAGTGAAGTCCGCCAGTACGCACTGGAGCAGCACAGTGGATTAATTGAATCATAACCCCTTGGAAAAAAAAAGGAGACCAACCTATGCCCAGCCAGTGGGATGTGTGCAGACTGTATCTTTTACTCATATGTGTATTAGGTACGGGAGATGTCTCAGCGGCGAACGTGTTTATGTATATTATGTGAACGCGAATAGTTTTTTAAGTTCATATTTTACCACTAAAACTCATTACTCGCATTACTCTATACGTAGTAGAGACACGCTGCAGCTATATCATGGTTGTAGCACGAAAGAGTCGGCTCGACCGGGGAAAGACCACGCTCTCACACAATACTGTGTTTCGTAGTGGAATCGAGGCACTCCATCTTAGTCTTCAGACAATGCATCTGCATATTGATTCTTAATCGAGGTTAAATGTAGATGTTTATGGCACACACACAGCATCCACTTATCATCAGGTGGACTGAGTGCTCGTTTATCACCCTTATTCTACAAAAATGCTATGCATAGGTATGTATGCTAAGGTGTTAATTGAAAGAGTTATGAAAGAAACTGATGGAAAAATTTGGGATGTGCAAGCGGGTTTTAGAAAGGGAATGGGGTGCACAGATCAAGTCTTTTCCATGCGCATGATTGCGGAGAAGTTTTTGGCCAAAAACCAGAAAGTTTTTTGTGCGTTCATGGACTTGGAAAAGGCTTATGACAGAGTGGACAGGAATGTGTTATGGCAAACACTGAACTCATATGGGTTGAGCGCTGGTTTGATACAGGCATTAGGGTCTCTTTATAGGGACTCTAGTGCTTGTGTCAGGATCAATGGGGTCTACTCGGACTGGTTTGGCATCCAAAAAGGTGTCAGACAGGGCTGTGTAGCTTCCCCTTGGCTGTTCAACCTATTTATGGACCGGTGTTTGCAAACTTTGAAAGATGAAGAATGTGGTTTAAGAATGGGCGAGTTAACCGTCAAATGCCTTTTGTATGCCGATGATCAAGTCATATTTGCGTCATCAGCGGCTGAGTTGCAAATGATGGTTACATTAATGAACTGGGAATTAAAAGAAAGGGGAATGAAAGTGAACGCAAGTAAGACGAAAGTGATGGTTTTTGAAAGAGAAGAAAGCAAAACGGTATGTGAAATAAGAATAGAAGGAGAGTTAATTGAGCAAGTGGATGAGTTTGTGTATTTGGGATGTGTATTTAGCAGGGATGGTAGATATGATAGGGATATAGAACGACGAGTAAATGCAGGGAATAGAGTGAATGGGGCACTACACTCTATTATGAAGAACCAGAATGTGTTGGTAATTCATAATGCTGTGTTAGTCCCTACGTTAATGTATGGTAGTGAAAGCTGGGTGTGGCAGAAGAAGCACGAAAGTAGAATAAATGCTGTAGAAATGCGTTCTTTAAGAAATATGCTGGGGTTTAATCTGAATGACAGGGTGAGAAATTGCGTGATAAGAGATAAATGTGGTATGCAAGATGATGTTGTGACCAGGATTAAGAAAGGAATGCTTCGGTGGTTTGGTCACGTAGAAAGAATGAATGATGAAAGGGTGACAAAGCAAATTTATATGGCAGATGTGAACGGCCGAGTCGGGAAGGGACGCCCTAGAAAAAAGTTTGTCGACCAAATTGGCGATATTTTGAAAATGGGCCACGTTAGAAGTACCCTTAACCGACGAGCATGTATGCGTAGATATATGGATGTAAAGGAGGCGAAAGAGGTATGTCAGGATCGTGCCAAATGGAAGTCCGTAATCTCTGCCTACCCCGGCGTGAGTGTTTATGTATGTATGTATGTATTCTACAAAAAAAAAAGTATAGCAACCGGAATGGATTAATAGCGCTGGACTGCACATTTGTTTATATACGCAGTAAAATTGTTGTTACCACATACACCCCCCCCCCTCCCCGCATGCGGTGAAGCGTGGTGACGGTGGCGACACCACCGCCGCTGCTTCATCGGTTCGTTGTTGGTTCACTAGTTAGTGATTAGTGCAAGCATCACATGTATAGTTCGAAGTACTAGTCGTACAGAGGTAATAGGTTAAAAAAAAATTTTTTTAGCCCAAAATAACTCGTATCAAAACGCATCGAGACTGTACGAGTAAAATAAGTCAGAGTTTACAATAAAAAGAATGTACTTTAAATAGACACGCGGAAGTTTGACAGCCAGTTTGCAGGTATTTTTTTTAAACATAAGGAAGCCAAACGAGTCCACCTGATGGTAAGTGGTTGCTGCGGCACATAGGTACATTTATCCCAGATTAAAAATAAAAGTGCAGACGCGTTGGAAGTCTAGACTAAGATGGAATGCCTCGTTTCCAGTAAAAAGGGTCACTGGTTCTCTACACTCACCATACGAAACATAGCAGCCTTGAGCACTATTTTACCCTGGTATTCTGTGAGACCGTGGTCTTATCCCGGTCGTGCCGACCCATTAGTGTTGCAACTAATATAGCGACAGCTAACAATCAATTTTTGCAAATTAGTTGCAATCTGGTGGTACAGTTACTGTTATTGTCAAAAATTGCAAGTGGTGTTGGAGAAGCAGGCACTCAAACCACTCAGATCGAAAAATTATTGGTCGCCATTATTTGTTCATGACAACGTTCGGCCACATAATGTACAACAGAAGTTGGGAAAATTTGCAGAACCTATGCTACAGACCCTTCCTCATCCACAATATTCCCCGAAACTTGCCTGAACTGACCTTTCATGTTTTTCGAAGTTTAGGTAACTTTTTGATATGTAAAAATTTCTATTGCGAAGAAACCGTAAAACGCCTTTAAAGAGTTCATTAATTCCTGAGCAGTGACTTCTATAGCAATGGCATCAAACAATAAAATGGCTTATTTAAAGCAAATCCTTTGATAAAATTTCTCAGACAAAACGGCAATTTCATAGGCAAAGACCTTTAGAAGAGAAATGTTTATACTAACTAACGTACGTCATCCATTTCTATTTTCTGGCACCTTATGCGTAAGTACATGATTAAATCTGGTAACCTCGAAGTAACAAACGTGTCACTGTTTTGTAGGTCACAACAACAATGTCACCTAACAAACTACTGGTCTCGTAAGTCACAACAACAGTATCATCACTTAATGAGACTTCGCTTCACATCTATAAAAATAAATCAAATTAAAGTGTCTGTTTGTAATGTCAAAGTAACAGCTTTTTACTAAGTGCATATGAAAGTATATATTACGGTACATATATCATAAAAATATACTTTTAATTTTTTCTTGTCTGTTTGTCCCCGAAATTTTGATGGGACTTTTTCTGGCAGATAGCTAATGTTAGAGTAATGTAGTGTTGCGCGCCAAAGTTAACGTCTGGTACCTGGGACTAGCGCCATGTAGTGTCGGGGAACAGAACGAGGAGAGCTTTCTAAAAAAGCCATTCCTGAACTTTCCACCAACAGCGACATCTATTATCGAATGGAAGAACTAAGCTTTCTAGAAAGCCCCACACTCGAACTATCTGCACCTGGTCGGTCGGTGCCGGTATTTGCTGGAATATTCTGGATGTTTCGGTGGAGAAGGCCTATTTAAAGCCGTTGAGAGCCGCGATCGGGGCAGTATTGAATTGGCGATACGAGCGAAGCTTTCGGAGTGAAATAAAGTGAAGTAAAGTGTTAAGTGTGAATAATTATTAGTGTGGTTTAAGTTTTAATTGGTGTTCAGTAATTAAAGTGTCAATTTTGGTAATTCAACCGGCAGTTTTTATTGTCACGAACCCTAAGCTCGTAACAGTAGGCTACTTTTATATTAGAAAAAGAATTACGGTTCTCTGCAAAAAAAAATTAAAACCCATGAAAGCCAATCGTATTAAATTCTACGCGGACTTAGTCGCAGGGAACAGCTAGTACAAAATAAGCGAAAACCGCGAACATCGAGGCTGCGACAGACATGCTCTGAATGACAAAGGTGCGAATCTACCGCCTGTCTGGTGTCCAATGACGCGTGAATACATTCACGATATTGACGAACAGGTGAACAAGCAATACTAGAGTATATGTGATGGGTAGACATGCTGCAGCCGTATAGTTGTAGCACGAGTGAATCGGCACGACCGGGGACCCACCACGCTCTCACAGAATAACATCGTAAAACAGCAGCTCAATGTTTCTGTTTCATGATGGGTGTAAAGAACCGGAGACCCTTTTTACTGGGAACAAGGCATCGCATCTTAGTCCTTAAAAAACTTACAAGAAATGTACAAATGTAAATAAAAATACATCTAAATATTATTATAGAGTATCGCCATCCGGAAATGATACGAATTAGGACGAACACGAAATTCCTG